ATGCACAGGGTAAGGCAGGGCTGGCGCTGGCTCGCCTGCCTGCTCGCCGCGGAGCGCGTGGCCCTGCAGCGGCCCCCGGCCTCCCCTCCTGTCCTCCAGGAGAGGTTGGGAAGCACCGGCTGTGGCGCTGGGCAAGCCGCATTCCCAGCTTTCCTAGGGCAGCCTCGGATGGGCTCCCACATGCAAGGACGGTGACCTCCCTCAACTCAAGGGTGACAGTCCCCTTCTGGGCGAGCCGTCCTAAGCTCCAGGCATTCAGCACTGTCCTTTGAAGCATCAACTCGTGGCCACTGTGGAAGAAACAGCCTTTTCAACATGGCCCAGAGTCCCTGAGTTTCTACCCAAAAAATTACATCATGTTCCTAGCAGACTATTACATTGTCAACATCATTCTTTGCTTGTTCCACTTGTTGGCGGGTTAGCGAGAGAATGTGATTTCCCATGACAGCTCATGAATGAAGAAGCGACCACACAGAGCCCCCAACACATCTTTGGTAAGGAATTAAACAGAGACATTTGTGCTTTAAAGTGTCATTATAGAAAAGTACCTCTTTTTTGCCTTCCTTTGATGATCCACGATCAAAATGTCAGAGCTCCCAGTAAAAACGTTCTGCCATTAGGCTTCCAGAGGGCAAGTGCAGAAGAGCAGCCCTACAAAGCACTACTCACAATGTCACTCTTCTCAGATTTTAATCTCCATTTTAAACATTTTAATTTCCACTTAAGACAAAAATTGCTTTGCCAGAAAATGGAGCCTCCTTTAATGACCCAGACCTTTCCATGAGGAGTGGCAGGGAGCTCGTGCTCAGAGCCAGCTCTGCGGAGCGAGAGACCCAGGATGGCACCTCCACCTCAACAGCTAGGACAGCTTTCCCATCCTCCTGCTTTGCAGGATCTTTCTAACTTGCTTTCCAGGGTGGCTTGGGCGCAGGAGGAAATTTGTCCTGTTTCTATGTTTGCAAATAAAAGATCTCTGAAAATTTTGCTATAAAATTCAAAGCTTTTCCACACACATATTAGTCTGATTTTAGCCTGAAGCTGTGCATCACTTTTTCTTAAAATGTTTTCTTTAGTGGTGCAACACCTATTCTCCTGCCCGATGCTCATACATCCTTACCTCACAATTTATAGGAGTATTACAGTGATTAATGAATGTCTTTGAACTGGAAAGTGCTATCAGAGTGCTAATTATTATCAGCATATATATGTACTTCTGCTGCTTTCAAGGGCAGCAGATATGGGAAACTAATGGAAAAGTTCGGGAAAGCATATATTGATACATAGGCATTTTATCCACTACAGAAATGTATAAAGGAAGAATAAATTATGTTACATATTTCAGTTCATTATTACACGTTCTGGCAAATCACTCTCCATCTGTTTAATAAGATCAGGGCCGCTGAAAATGGGAGTTTAGACTGGAAGCTGCTTGCAGCTTTACCTTCTTGTGCTCTCAGTAATCCTAATACTCATAAAAATGCTTTATTGCCCATTCTGGGGGCTCGGTTAAAGCACGCGGCTACAAGCCCAACGTGTAAGGCCAAGAGGGGCCGTGACGCTGCACGCGGGGCTGCCTCCCCGCGTTCCGCCCGCGCGCGAAAGGGCAGCCAAAGCCCCCAGGCCCTGTGCTCGCCGCCCCCGCGCTGCCTCCCGGGCCGCTGCTGGAAGAAACTGCTGACTGACGCCGCACTCGGGCACTTCTGTTACTGGTTTTTACCTAATTCATCTTTAAAATGACATGATTTGAGCTTAAACCATGGTTTCTAATGTCTTCTTAGGGAGGACCCTTAATTCACACTTACGCAGCGGCACAAGGTGCTGCTGGAGGGTCCCGTGGTCAGCGAGGAGGGCCGGGGACACGCGCTCAGCACAGATAAGGTAGCCACGCTCATTCAGCGGCTTTGGCTCTCTTAGGACAGGTTAAAGGCAACTGATTGAAAAAATAATTACAGGAAAATAGAGATGGGAAAAGGCCAGGCCCACAGTACCAAGATCTCGGAAGTTTGTGCTTTGAAGAGAGAAAAGAGGCTCTTTCTTTCTCCTCCTTGGACTATCTGCGCGTTGGCTCCTTGCAAGGACGTAGCTGAAACAAGGAAGTCTTTCTTTGGAGGGATGTAGCTACAGGCGGCCTTTTCTCCTCTCTATATACGCTTCCCTGGAGCTCTTGCTTCTGCAAGAGTATCTTGCATCTGCAAGACTTCTGCATCTTGAGGGGTCTCTTTAAGAGAGTGTAGTTAGTGTCTAACCTAAAAGGTTATGTGGTCCTGAGCACAGATGTCCTATAGGATCTGCAATAAGGTAAACATTATAACAGACAGAAACCGCTATCGTGGCATTTCTCGTGCTAATTAAAAGCTGGCTAGGGACCTTCTTTCTTGATGCAGCTTTTACTTCAAACAAAAATATTTCAACAAATCAAAACAGGGGAAATTATTTAGCATTTTATGCTAATAATAATTGTTTTAGAAATCCGTATTTGCTCAAGGGTATAATTCACATAAAAAATGACCTTAAAACTCAGCGCTAAGCACATACAATACCCCTATTATTTGGGAGGGGATTTTTTTAGCGCTCTCTCTTGAATGCTGATCGTGTGTCTCCTGCCAGCTCCATCCCCACAGCTGCCTGGGTGTTCACATCAGGGATGAGCAGCTCTGGGGACGCCTGGAGACCCTTCATCTCTGCTCCATCACAGATTTTCTATACAAACTTGAGCAAGAAATTTACCCCATACCTCCTGTGCAAGACTGGGATGGCAGCGTTCTCCTCCCCAGGGGCATGCTAGAGAGCATTAGCAGGTTAGAAATTGGGAATTTCTAACCCTGTTTCATTAACAGGGTAGAAATTAGGACCAAGCAGTTGTACAAAATGATGTCATGACTGTGGTGTTGTACCAGCCTTGCCATGGGTGGATTTGGCCATTTCTCCAGTCCTTGCCAATTTGCCATACAGAACTTCTGCAGCAAATATGAGGTGGAGTTGTTCATGTCCAGTCACAACAACAGTGTTTGCAAGTGCAACACAAGTACTCAGAGGAATAATCCTGCTTGGCACACTGCACTAATTTCCCTTCTCTACCTAGGACTTAAGGAATAGCATTTAGCTAAAATTTAGTTAGTATTATACAAACATACATATATACACATGTATGTGTATATACATAAATGTAGATATAAAGGTATAGATGCAACAAATACATGTACTAAACAGCCATTCAGATACACACATACACACACACACACAGACACGTAATGTACTTAGACCCACCTCCTCCTGAGGACTCAAAAGGATTTGGCTTTGTTAGTGCTGAAAAACTTAGCTCTTTGCTTGAAGTTTTAAAGAGGTGAGAAAGCACCTCTTTAAGCAAAAATAACACAGTTAAAGCCGTCCATTATTAGTATCAGACAGTAAAGTTGAATTTGCATATGTGTAGAGAACACTCAGTGCTTTGCATTCACTTGAGATATAAGCACCTAGGAATGTTTCTGGCCTGGAGCTTACCCGGGGCTCCTTTACAAACTGAATAAACAGAGTGGCACTAACTAACCTCATCAGTCAAAGTCACAGAAATGACTTCGTTGCAGAACTCACGTTCTAACTTGGTGCATTTTAGAAATCTAAAACATGCTCCTCAAAATTAAAAACCAGTTATGGAACTATGAAAAACAAAAGAAATTACCACTAATGCCAAATATTCCAGGTACATCGAGGTCAACTCTTTAAAGGCTTTCACTGTAATAATTACTTTGAATCATCATCTTTCCACAACCAATTCTCCCTGCAAACTAATGCTATACAGCCTTCTGTACTTAAAACCGCTTTTCTAAATGAAAGTCACCTTCAAAAAACCTTCCTTTAGCCCAGCTCACATTTCCAATTAGCAATATGATAAAAGCAAAGTGATTGCTGCCCTTGAGGGCCATTGCTGATCTACACCCTGGGTCCTTGTATTAAATGCTTTGCAGAAAGGAGATCCAGGTACATTTCTGGGACCTGGTTCCACTGCCTGGGCTCTACTGGGCTCTCCCACACGTTACTGGAAAGCATGGGAGGAGCATATCAGCACAAAATTTATTGCAATGAATAACGATACATATTGTGTTGTATTAATTACAGTAAGTGCCACATAGCACCACCACTGACTTTCCTCTCTGCTTTATGCTCTTCAATTTATGTGATTCTTGGTATCTTACCAGGAGGACACTGGTTCCAGTGGGACAGTTCACATGCTTCAAGCGAAGCGTTTGCCCAAGGGCTGCACTCAGCGAGGGGGTTAGAAACACCCGCCACGTGCCCAGGTGGGATTCAGGCTGTTGCCATTTCCCCGTGACTACACCCCTCACGCTGCACTTTCCAGCGCTCCGTGCAAGCCTGGAAGAGCTGACCCAAGCCCCGGAGCAGCACTTCCCTGGGAGCACGTGGCCTCCCTGGGAGCACGTGGCCTCCCTAGAGGCAGGTGCTCACGGAGCCTGCACGCGGGCTGCCCAGCGACGTGCTGCGCGCGCCTTGGTTCAGCTGCTTTTGCACGGATGAAGCAGCAGCTGCCAGTTTGTCACTTGCTCCAGGTTTGACGTGCAGGGTGCAGGTTGTGTGATCGTTTTCCCCAAATCATCTCACTTCACGGTTTTCATATTGTTTAACCAGTGAAAAATAAAAAGTGACATGTTTGACTTGATGGAAGCAAACTCTTAAGAGATGTTCCAGTGCCATGACATTTTCCCCACATCACATTTTTAATGACATCTCACACTGTATTTTCCAATTAGTTAAAAAAAAAAAACAAAAAACCACACACACCACAAAGAGACATATTCATAACTAAAAAGAAAACCAATGGTGCAGAAATTAGCTAGATAACTGCAATTAGCTGCACCAAATACTAGAGAAATCAGTTATTTGGTCTTAACAAGAACTCAAATCTACTGATCTACCTTGAAAAAAATAAATATTCTCTATGATAAATTTTAGGGATTTTTTCTTCTTACCTCTTGCAGACATTTTATGTCAGACTTCCCGACGAGAAGATGAGACTATGACTGAAGAGCATCCTGAAAATCGCAAGCAGTCCTTTTCCTGGGTCCAAACTGGATTGATTTGAGAACAATAATTATGAGGCTGACATGTATGTTCTCCTTCATCTTGCTGTTTGGAGCAGCTGGGCTTGTTGTCTTCATTCATCTGCAGGATCCAGAAGAAATAGTTCATCAGCAGACACCAGGTCAGCATTTGTTTGGCTCATTTGCTCTCTTGTGTTCTGTATGACATACTTAGATCCTTAACATGCTTTACACATTTCCCAGAGGTTGCCTGAGCACAGATAGGCTATTTTCTTAATGAAGCCTATTTTGGAATGGATTAACACTTTCTGGAAGGAAAAAAAAAAAAAAAGGGCAGGGGGAAGTTTGCTTAAAAAGTAGTTTCAAGAAGCAATGCCTGTTTATGCTGGAATCTTTGCCAAGGATTTCTGCTGCCAGTTCCACCACTGCAAATCTAGAATTTGTACAAATACAGGTCTCTGAACCCACCTTTGCCTATATATGTTATTCAGTGTGTTAGAGGCACAAAGCAAGAGATGCATTCAAAGATTCATGCAAGAGGATTAAAATACTTCAGGATGCATTCCTTTAATGTATATAAATTCCACTGACCGTTCCATAAATTTCATGCACAAGTGCGCCGTCTTCTCATGTTACTAACATGTTACTAAGAATCAAGTTCATGTAAGAATTAGGAAACTGTGAGCTAAGACTGTGGTTGCCTTTTAAATGAGGGACATTCGAGTATGAAAATCCACAGAACTTCTCTTGGTTTCTTTTCTCCATGATTAAGGCTGATTCAGGACCTAGACAAATGCCAATAGGGTTACTCTGCTCATCACAATAGCCCTGCATTGGTTGCCCCCCCATGCAGAGAGTTGGTCATTGTGTTTTCTCCTGTATGCACAGGAATTCTCCTTTTGCTGCACACTTATTTTATAAAAAAGCCTATTCAGTTGTCATGTTTATCATACAGTGGGCATGATGGTGTACATTTTAAAGTGTTATTAACAGTTTTAAAGGAGCTGAACCCTAATGCAGAGAATTCTTAAAATGTTACATTAAGTGCTATTTTCTGAGTCCAGGTTTATCAAGTGCTTATTTCTATGTCACTAAAAAAAAAATCTATACCTTAATAAGTTTATTATTTAGTCCAACTTCATACCAACTTTGAAAACATCCACTCAACTGAAACCACAGACATTATGAACCAGCAGTGTGTCGTGGAAAGCAGAGGATTACCAGTCACTTCAGTGCATTTGTAATTTATTTTCGTATACCTGGATGCAAAGCAAGCTGCATATTAAAACTGGAACTAGTGGCCACGTTTGACCCTGTGCATGCTCATTTGGAATCAATACTACTATGAAGCCTGTACATTCTCAGGAGAATATGGAAATTACAACTCCACAATTTCACAGAAAAAGCTCCCTGATTTAGCTGTGACTGTACAAAATGTGTGCGAGATAGAAAGCAGTCAGGCACCTCTACCACCGAGACACCAAGCACAGGGCCAGGGCAGCCTTCCCAGCTGTAAACAGGCTTTGATTTTAGCCTGAAAACAGATCCACCTTCTGACTGTTTGTAGCTATATATTAGACCTTGATAAGCTGCAGTTGTGCCATAATCTCTAGGAAAATGAATTGCCTCCAATTCCAGAGGATCTAGTGCTTGGGAAAGAACCACTCCCTCTTTTCTCCTCTAGAAGGTGGGTAACGTTTCAGTGTCCTACCTAGATCTACCTGTGCTGGGGTGTCAAAGCCTGTTTAGGCAGATCCAGCAGCACTGCTGCCCAGGCAGTCCCCTAGCACTTCAGTCATGCCTGTGCACAAAATCATGTTGTTTTATTATTTCATTTATTATTAAATCAGCTTTCTGAAGGCTTTTATCCCATTCCCTGACTCCGCCAGCCTGTCCTCACTGCTTTGCTCTCCCTGCCAATAATCTCTGAAATTCCCCTCTGCTCTCCTAATTCTCCCCGCTCTGCATGTCCAACACCCTCCTCTCCTAACTCGTGCTGGCAGGGCAAGCAGGACCAGAACCTCCTGGCTCCACATATGTCCTTTTCTTCAGTAGGGTCCCTGGTTTGGGATCCTCCCTCTATCCAGCCACCAGTTTCCATTGACTTCAGGAGACAAACTCAGAATATCTCTCTATCAGAAACTTCTGTCCCTCTTCAGTTCTAACTGAAGTAGGTTGGGGCTGAGTGGAAAGACATGGCATGGGACAGAGGGGTGGCACATGCACGTATACTGTGGTGCATCTCAGTGTGTGTAACTTTATATTGAAACATTAGTTACTTGCTTCTGGAAGAAAAGGAATTTCTCTTGATGTCTCATGCAAGCTCTTTCCTGCTCCTTCCTCACTGGCCCCTCCTCCTGACCTGCCTCAGCTCTGCTCCTTCCATCTCCAAGCTCTCGAAGCTGACTGCTGATTGGGATACACACTGAAGTGATGTTTGAGGATATAAATGCAGAAGGGGACAACCAAGTACACTTAGGTAAAAGGCAGGTCTAAACTGAGGTTTCTGCCCTCCTCCTGGCCCCCAGTGAGGGACCTCAGCCACAACATGGCAGATTTTTGTGGGTAAAGCTCTTCATGCCTCGAAAATGATCCTCCCGACCACGCTGTTACTGCCAAAGGTGCCTAATTAAATGCTTGATACTCACATTCAATTACTGTTCATGTTAATAGGAGCCAGGCTGTACCCTAGGGTAAAAGGTGCTCAGTACAATTACTCTTACTTCTGTTTGGCTGATTTTCAGGCAAGTTAAGCACTTGCTGCTCCCAGTGGGCTCAGAAACTCTTCATATCCACTGCTTCTGAAAATGATACTAGTTATCACTAAAGCACATTAGACAGCTTAAGGAACATGGGGAAAATATCCATTCATTTCATTAAAAAAATTGCTAGGCATATTTCCTTACTAGAAAGACTCCTAGGAAAATCTGTCAATCACAAGAGAAATTTTTGGTATGCTGAAAAGGATGCTTTCCATCCCTTGTTCAGAACATCCTGCTCCTAAAGGTGTCTCTTTCTAATGGATATTGGATATTGCTGTAATGTGCTTTTCTAATTGCTCACTCAGTGACTTTGAACAAATGCTTGTGCCATTCTGTATGGCAAAGTTTTACTTGATTGCCCTTTGGGTTTGTATTTCCCATGTAGTTACTATGTAGCAAAATGCATTTACCAGGTACTGGAACCTCACCAGAAAAGCTATAGAAAAGTCAATAAAGTAGATTTTTCCACTGAAAAGCAGCATAGCAGAATTTTACATTGACTAAAAGGGCATTTTTCACTGTTAGTATATTCAGTCATCTTTAATTTAAGGTGGTACAACTTATGAAACAAGATTAATAAAAATACTTTAGTACTTTAGTTGTATCTGCCTGTTCTGGAAATTGTTCCTGGTTGTTTTAGTCCTAGCAAGCATAATGGTGAGACCTTGATGTACTACTTAAACCGGTATAAAATCCACAGTCATAAAACTTTAAGTAATGCTTACATTACTTTCACTGAGCAAAGCACTCCTGACAGTAGCTGTTTGTGTTGATTTGTTACTATTCATTTATTCTTTCCCTGTGCTTCACATCACTACCTAATTGTGATGCTGTACTGAGAAAGCAATATCAAAGTAATTTTCCACAACATTAGTTACAATTTTCTTCTGATCTTTCGAGTGAAACAATCCCATCCTGTTGGCTTCTGTGAGCATATAAACCTTGATTACATTTATCTGTTGGAAACCGGTGCCTACAAAGTATATATGCCCTGGATAGCGGGTGTAGAGCCTTTTTGCTGGCTGGCAAACATACTGCCTGTACAGTTTTTTAATATCATGTGCTTCATTCTGAGCAGATACCCTTATGGCAGACAGAGTGACCAAAAGAGCTTTCCCAAGCCAATATATTAAATTCAGTAGATATTCTTCTGGTCATTAAAGGGACGATAACCTCACGACAGGTATCTGGGCTTGCACTGAGAACACTACTGCCGTAGAGCAGGCTGGATGGGGCAGGGCTCAGAGCTGGGAGGAAGGAAGGACAGTCACACACAGGTCAGAAACTAGACACCCTTCTCCTTGAATTACCTACAGCTTTGCTTCTGCAGTAATCATGCTATTGTTTTTAAACAGCAAATATATTTGCTTTGGGCAAGCAGCTGTACATTTGCAGCCAGCCCAGTGCTGCCTTTGTCCTGAGCCATGACGTGAGCACGGGGACCTGTCCATGCTGGGACGGTGTTGATGGGGCCAGCGGGCTAATGCAGGGCTAATGCAGGAATAACTTCTACATTTTGTAAAGGCGATTTATGCACACGCATACAGATGAGTCTGGCGTATGCATGTTTGCTTATACATTATCACACCTCTCCATATTCATGTAGCAAGTTTCTCTATGAATGGTGAATAAGTCCACTGGAAACAATTGCTTTTTCCTCTCCATATGGCTACTGAATTCAAAAGCATATAATAGGTTTCAGTTAAAACTTATAAAATAAGCATGTATAAAGCCTTCTCTGGGAGCAGGTAAATGGCACATAGATGGTAAATAGATGGAAAATAGCAAACAGCAAAAGCTCCAAAAGGGTGAAAACAGGGACAAGAACAGCAAAGTCTTTGCACTCTAGTTTAGAAGCTGCCATCCAAGTATGGATATAACCAAGCCAAGATTCATGGCTGACATTCTGCAAGGACTCCTCCCTTTCCTTCACCCTCCAAAACCCAACAAATGCTGCCTGCTTCTTTGCTTTCTGCTTTATTAGGATGTGAAAGTTGGGAGAGGGAGGAGGGACAGGAGACCGGGCTGACACATGGGTGCTATAGCAAACGTGAGGGCCCGAGGGAGCCAGGGTGCAGGTATCTTACTGAGCACTGCAGGAGCCCTACAGCAAGTACTGTTAACTACAGCTGTACGTATTGCTCTTAATTGCCTACTCAGAACATATATACCTTGTTCCTCAGAAATTACAGCCCTGTGCACATGACTTCACATAGCCGTATATTTCCATCATGCATCTTTGTGCAGAACTGCTAGATTGTCACATTGGAATTTTTTTCAAAAACACAATGGAAAATGAGCTGCCATTAATCTGTAATTTCCAAAGTAATTTTCATACAATTTGCATCTTACTTCTCTTTACAAACCGGGACAGTCATTTAATCTGCCTCAAAACTAAC